GGAACCAGGGATTGAACTCAGGCCCTTGCACTTGCCAGGGAAGTGCTTATTCCACTGAGCCATCTCCCTGGCCACCCCAGAGCTGGGAACATTTAAAGAACTTTCCAATCTGCCCAGAAAACACCAGAAAACTCTATTGTAGGTGCTTGTCTCTGCCCCGTCCCATCTGTCCTACCTATTAGTGGCTGGCCCCCAGGGTTATCTTTGTTCCCTCTGGAACCTTTTCTGTGCCTGCCTTTTTTTCCCCTTTTATTTGTCAAGGCAGGATCCTACTATGTACACTAACCTCACCTTCCTGCCTCAGCCTCCCCAGTGGTGGAATTACAGCTCTGAGTTACTACGCCCAGCCAACTTGGAATAGGATTTCTGAAAAATCCCTCATGGTTTATTTGACTGTTAAAAGGCCATGGTCATTCCTGCCCTGGCGTGACACCTGGCAGGCGGGTGGCACAGGCTTCACAGGTGGGCAGCTTTTCCTCTCTAGAACCGCAGCCCTGCTGTTTTACTTAAAATAAACAAACTTAAAATAAACAAAACTACCAAACAAGTCAAGCATAGTCAGTCAGTGGCCTGTAATTGTGGCCTTCTAGGAAACTGAGGCAGGAGGATGCCAAGTGCGAGCCCGGCTTGGGCAACTTAGTGGTTTAGTGAGACTCTGTCTCAAAATGAGAAATAAAAAGGGGCTAGAGGGAGCTGGGGAGATGGCTCAGTGGAATAAGTGCTTCCCTGGCAAGCGCAAGGACCTGAGTTCAGTACCCGGTTCTGCCCTCCCCCCAAAAAGGGGGCTACAGATGTAACTTAGAGCAACCCCCAAAAAACCTACCCCTATGGAGTGTGCAGTTCAGTAAGTTTAGACTCCCACTTCCACCTTCCTAGGAGCACCCCCACATCTTTTCATAGTCAATCTCCCTCCACACTACCCCAGATAACTTTTTCCTGTGTACTGAATTGGGTTTGAAACACTGAGGTACACACATGCATAGCTGCACCCTACAGCTGACAGTGGGTCTGGGAGCACCACAAAGGCTAAGGAAAGGCTACGATGGCCTTCCTCTCTCAAGTGACCCAGGCCTCCTGCAGGGCTGGGGAGACACCTTGGGATGTTAGGATGCCAGCGGGCTACACTGTTCCCTCTCCAGATTTCCTAACCCCTGTAGTTGAGATGTAGGAAGAATGAAATGAGGCTCTCAGCACTGCTTGCTTCTGGCTGGTCAGACAACAGGAGAGACTAGCCTGTGGCCTGGCTTTGCCTTGGGCTCGCTGTGTGCCTTTAGGAAATCACTTTCCTTCTCTGGGCTGCCTGTCTATCAGGAAGCGAGTAATCCCTGAGTCCCTCTCCACTGACAACTCTGCCCCGGGAATGCATCCAGCTGTGGGGGGCTGGGCCTCACCTGTGCAGTCCCCACTCCCTGGAATGCTGCTCCCCAGAATCTGCTGTCACCATTCTTGTTTGTCAACTTTCAGCTCCAGTATTACTCTGTGTGAAGGTCCTGAAAATAGGATGTTCCGTTCTTTCCTCAAGCTTCTCTAAGGTCTTGAGGGCAGGGACTATGAAGAATAATGGGTGACAGCTCTGCTTACTGAGAAAGGACAGGCACAGTGCTAGGCACTTTGTCTTTTAACCTTCTCAATAAAATATGGCAACTGTCATTTGACAGATGAAGACACAGTCTCACAGTGGCAATGTCCCTTGTCCAGGGTCACAGAGGGCTGGGCAGCTTGGACTTTTTTGGGAGACAGAGTCTCTTCACTACACAGTTCAGGCTGGCCTCGAACTCACAGTGATCCTCCCGCCCTGGCCCCCAAAGTGGTGGGCCTGCAAGTGTGGGCCACCATGTCCAGTAAGCTTGGGCTTTTTCTGAATCACGGAACGACTGGGAGGGAATGAGTGCCTGCGTTGCTGCCTGGTTGTCCTTAATCCACTCCACACCTGCCTCCTGTGGTGCGGATGGGACTGAAGCTCTGGGATGTTGTCACCGTCCTCTGCTGCTGCCTGTACTAATTACAGCAAGTGATGTGCCATAAGGGGATGGAATGCTCTCTATGTAAGTGTGAGTGCTCCATCACCAGGAGTAGGCAAGCAGCAACCGGGTGACCCTTGCCAGGACACAGGATGGATGGGGCATTAGCAGTCAAGGAAGGCCTCTGTCACCCCACACCTAGATTTGAGGATCCCTGCTGTTAATCTGAAACCAAAAGGCATTCATCTGGTACCAGTGACCCATGCCCAGCCCCAGTTCGTGCACCCAAAGTCCGCACAAATCGTAAAGTGTGGTTACTTTGTCCATTTCTGGCTTGCTCTGCCCCATCAGCTGCCTCCTGAGTGACAGGCCCCATATTGGACCTGAGGAATGCCCGCCTGGCACTGGGGCCTTGGTGCCTCTAGGCCGGATCGGCCCCCAGTCCCTGGCCAGCAGCCCTGGCTCCCAGCTATTGTGCAAGTCTGGTCGGCACACCTCCTGGGCAGGTCAGATCAAGGCCAGGGAAGTTCCCGAAGGCGGCTGCGGGCGGGTCTGGGGGGGCAGGGCAGGGAGCGGGCGGGAGCAGCGTGGCGTGGACGCCGACTTCCTGCACGTCGGCCTGGGCGTCCCCTTCCAGGTCCCCGCGTCCTCCTCGGTAGGAGGAGGGGAACGGAGGGGAGACGCCCAGGGTAGAACCCCCGGGAACCCCGATGTTTCATGGATCCCCACTAAGCATCTCAGTCCACCTGGGTTTGGGTCTGGCGCTCTCTATACGCGTCACTCCGCGGTCTCCCTTGCGGGGACCTTCTCTTTGTCTTGATCTAGGCGAGGTCCCGGCGTCTCCCGCCCTCGAGCCCCGCCCACTCGCCCGCCGAGGAGGGGGCGTGGCCATGGAGGGCGTGGCCTGGGCAGGCGGGGCGGGGCGCGGCTGGGCGCTGGGCCGCGGCGCGGGCGGGCGCGGGAGACTGAGGCTGCGGGCGAGAGGGACGGTGCTGGACCCCGCGCGGAGGCCGAAGCCGGGGAGGAGCGGCGGGATCTGGACGGGCCAGGCTGCATGGCGCCGGTGGCGTCTGTCTGAGCAGCGCGGGCATTGGCTGGCGGCGGCCGGGTCGGGCTGAGTGCGGCTGCTCCTCGCCATGGGGGACGTGGTGTCCACGCACCTGGACGACGCCCGGCGCCAGCACATCGCAGGTGAGTACGGCGCCGGTAGCGCGTGCGCCGGGGGGTTCACTGGGCGCCCCGGGCCACGCCCCCACTTGGGTCGCCGGCTCGGGGGCTGGGGTCTCCCAAGTCAGCCCCGGGTGCGGCTGTAGCTCGTGGGAACCGTGTCCTGTGTCTGAGCTTGTTCCCTCTGGGTCTGGGCGCACCTTGTCGCCTCATTCTGAGCCCCTCCTCCATTTTGCGTGGACTTGGACCCCCTCCTTCCGTAGAGGAATCTCAGTCTGATCGCGGACCCTTTATGCTAGATCGATGCCCTAAGGGTTGTTGCTGATCCCCTCCCACCCCTGTCCCGCCTAGCAGCTTTCCAAGCCTCCCGTCCCTCACCCCGTGATCTGCCCCACACAGCCCTGACCTTCCTGCATAGCTGTCCGATCCGCCCCTCGCCCAGGCCCCAGATCCAGTACACGTGGCTGAATCTTCCAGAGTAAGGGCCTTGTAGGGGCTGGGACTGACCTGGGGAGTGAAGCTAGGGATAGATGGAGTGTACTGAAGAGGGTGGGGTTCCGCTCAGACTCTGTCCCGTGCTCCTCTTGGCTGCCACAGCCAGAAAGCCAGTCAAGGCTGGTAGGGACCCTCTCAAGGCCAGCTCCTAGCCTTCCCAGCACCCCGTGTCCCTTTCTTCATCCGGGCCAGCTCACAGCCTGTCACCACACCGTGACCACTTCTCAGAAGGGCAGCTGCGCCTAAGGCTCCAGGGAAGCCTAGGACTACAGTGGGCCCTAAGTTCCTACAGAAAATGAGAGATGGGGTGAAACCCTTGTGCTGTCTGAGACACAGCTCCGGCAGACTTGGGGAATGGAGAAGGGAGCAGTAATCAGCTTGGGTGCAATCTCAGTGTTTGTTTGCCAGGCATGGGATCTTGGACACAAGTCTCAGTGTCTGGCGCCTTGGTTTTTTCATCTTTGAAATGGGGTCAGTGGTTTTCTTACTGATGAGTTACCAAGAGACCTAGGTGAGCCAGTTCCTGCAGCTTGCTTGGCACAGGGCCTGGCAGAGAAGAGGCACCAGTGAAGGGGTGGCAGTCAGGTGGGTTCCCTGGCAGCTCATGGTTCCACTTGGCTGCATTTATGTCCCAGTCCAGTGGGCCCAGAGGATCCTGTCCGCCTACACTTGTTTTGATGTCCTGTAGAGTTTTTTTTTTGTTTTTTTTTTAGCAGTGTCCACCATGCTCTCTTGATACCAGGGACCCCTTGAGAGCAAGGATTAGGTGTCCCTCAGCTCCTTGTCCCCAGGGCCCGGGGTTGGATACAAAGGGGTGCCAGGAGCGGGGGCTACCCGGTGATTGTGGTCGGGAACCAGTGTCACAGGTGTAGGTGACATAGAAATGAATCAGAGTTGCCCTCCTCTGACCAGCGGGGGTTAAGTCTTAGGCCTCCTTGTGGGATCAGGCCTGGACTTTGGGAGGAGGAAAGGCTGGGGCGGAGTCTTCCTGTCCCCTCCCTGTTGGTGGCAACCTCCCGGAGCTCTGTTAACAGTCCCTCCATTCAGGGCCCCCTGTCTGGCCCTTGGGTAGGCCTGGGTGGGATTTTTCCTCTCCCCACACCCAGCTCCACTCTCCCACCTCCCCACCTCTTGGGCTGAGAGGTGCCACCCCTTCCTCCCCCTGCCATGTCCAGGGGGTGGGGACTGAGCCACAGAAGTTCAAGTGTCCTCTGCCTGAGAGAGCTGGGTTTGTTTTGTGGATACCAGGCTGGGGAGATGAGGGCTGTGCCCACTCGAAGCCCACTGATTTCTCTTCCTGAAACTTGGTGCTATTAATAACCCTCTTCAAGGGGCCGGGAGATGGCTCAGTGGAATAAGGGCTTCCCTGGCAAGTGCAAAGGCCTGAGTTCAATCCCTGGTTCCGCAAAAAAAAAAAAAAAAAGTAAAATAACCCTCTTCAGATGCCACGGATTCTGGAGCAGGCTCACCTGAGTGGCTCCAATCTGCAGGTCCCGGAAGTTGGAGGAATAGGAGTTTGAGGCCTCCCCACCCCGTCCAGAGGAAGTAAACTGCCTTAGAATTCTGGCGAGGGGAGTGAGGGTGTACCTTTGCCACCTTGTCCTGCTCACCCTGCCCAGGGATCAGTAAGCTCCTCCGTTGCACACAATTAAAATTCCAGGCTTCACACCTGGAACAGCGCCTGTAGCAATGACAGCTTTGGGAACCTCGATACTCACTGTGCTCTGAGCTCCCTACCATGTTGGGGTGCTGTGGTTTGGCCTGCAGTTTGTCACCTACCCCGAGCAGGTGAGCAGGTGAATGCCAGGCTGCAAGTCCTGGCGAAAGTCAGGCGCACTTCTGCCCACAGTGCTGTTTCGCTGCCCCAGCAGCTTTCATCTTGAAATTTTAAAGCCTCTGGCAAGCAAGGGCTTGTTTCTACACCAGTGGCCCAGGTAGCTGGGTGCAGGAGGCTATCGCAAAAGGGAGTTAAGAGCCCTAGTCTAGCCAGGTATGGTGGTGTCTGCCTGTAATTCCAGCACTTGGGAGGCTGAGGCAGGAGGATCTCAGGCAAGCCTGGGCTACATACTAAACTCGTATGTCAAAAACAAACAGAAAAGGGGTCTGACTTGGGGACCACATCTCTGCCTTGAGAACGTTGGCAGAACACTACCTCTCCCTAGGTCTCAGTTTCCCTAGCTGTTACTGGAAGGCCTAACTTCAAATTTTCCCAAGATAGCACCGTTTTTTTTTTTTTTTTTTTTAAAGTATTTGGTACAGGATCTCATTACACAGCTTGGACTTATAGTGATCCTCCTATTTTCAGCCTCCCCACCGCATGTACCACCATGCCCAGTCTTGATTTTTGGCTCAGCTTGCCAAGGGGCAAAGCTGGTGCAGTATGTGCTGCTGGGGATCGAACCCTGGTCCCTGTTCTTGCCTACGTAAGCGCTTAGTCCATTTAGCTATCTCGCCAGCCACCCCCCTTCTTTTAAACAAGATCTCGGGGCTGGAGAAATAGCTCAATTGAATAAGCACTTGCCTGGCAAGTGCAAAGGCCAGAGTTCAATCCCCGGCTCTGCAAAAAATAAAATAAACAAGATCTCACTATGTAGTTCAAATTCACTAGGTAGCCTAGGCATCTATCAAATTTATGAGGATCCCCTTGCTTCCCCCTCCCAAGTGCTGGGATTACGAATGTGTACGATGACACCCAGTGTCAGCTTTAGTTTTGTTATCTGTAAAATGGGAATAGTAATGGTGGGTGCCCTCTGGGCACTCACGGCCAGGATGATTTAATTAGATAGTGTGCACTCAGCAGCTCGGCCCAGCTGCAGCCAGGGAAGTGCTGCTCTTGTGGCGCAGCCTGTCACATCTGCAGCAGAGCTCCCTGTGAGCAAGACGAACTGCTGAGTCTGGCATTTAAAGGGAGCCATCACGCTGTGATTTCTCTGGGGTTTGTCTGGTCCCTGGTGTCAGGGCAGCCTCTCCCATGGATGTAACGATGGACTTGGGGTTCTGGAGCCCGATTTCCAGGTTCCATCTGTCTTGGCAGGTAAGTGCCATGGATGTATGTGGTTGCCTGGAGGGATGCAGAGGACAGTGATGTAGGTACGTGTGATGGCTAGAAGGACCTGAGATTAGGACAGGTGACTAAGGGGACAGGAAGAGGAGAGGGGCATCCAGGCCCCGGGGGGGGGTCCTGAGCTCAGGAATGGTCTCTCTGTCTGTCTGTCTCTCATTTTTTTTTTTTTTTTTTGGCGGAACCGGGGATTGAACTCAGGCCCTTGAACTTGCCAGGGAAGCGCTTATTCCACTGAGCCATCTCCCCGGCCCCTCTCTCTCATTCTTTGACACAGGATCTCTATGTATTCTGGGCTGGCCTTGAACTCACTATGTAGCCCACGCTGCCCTCCAGCTCGCTTTGATCCTCCTGCCTCAGCCTCTCAGGTGCTGGGATTACAGGCATGTACCACCATGCCTGACTGGTTTTTTTTGTTTTGTTTTGTTTTTATAACAGCTGTATCGAGCTATAATACTTCTACTGTGCAATCCACCTACTCGAAGAGTACAATTCGGTGGCTTTTAGCGTATTGACAGAGTTGTGCAACGTTCAATTTTAGAACATTTTTATCACCCCTAAAATAAATGCTGTAACTGTCAGTGGTCACTCATGTGTCTCCCGGGGCCTTTGTACCCTGAGATCCTTCCTCTAAGTGCAAGAGGGACACAGGTGCTGACTGGTCAGGAGGGGGCGTTAACAAGTGAGAAGCCCTCCACCCTCCCTCCCTTCATTCCTCTTGGAGGCTTGTCCCTGTTTCCAAACAAACCCCACTGGAGTCCTTACTCATATGGAGCTTGGCTTACAAAAAGATTCCTTGCTGTGCTTCTGTGGTTGGATGTTTTTGCTGGGGAGACTACAGGCATCTCTCCACGTCCCCAGGTCCTGAACATACAAGTCCACCTTGGTCTTTCCGTGGTGGTTCTGTTCTGTGCTTGGGGTGATCTGTTTACTCAGATCTCTGTGGGCTCCTGGGTTGTTTCTAGTGTTACTCTTTTTTCCTTGTTGTGGTGCTGGGGAGTTGAACCCAGGAGTGCTGTACCATGGAGCAATACCCCCAGCCCTTCTTATTTTTTATTTTTGTTTCTTATTTTGAGACAGGCTCTCCCCGACTTTCCAAGGCTGAGCTTGAATTTGAGATCCTCCTGTCTCAGCCTCCCGCATAGCTGGGATTGCAAGTGTGTGCAGTCTGGCCCTGCTCTTTCAAGTGCTTTGCTGGTTTCTAGCATGGTGCTTGAACCTCCTTGTGTGTATCACATGTGCCAGTATCAGAGAGACCCCCAGATAGAGCCCCTGGGTAATGTTTTGATTTATTATTGTTATTATTATTTGTCTTTCTGAGATAGGGTCTCTTGCTATGCAGTTCAGGTTGGCTTTGAGATCACTTTTTTTTTACGGTACCGGGGCTGATTGAACTCAGGACTTTGTGCTTGCAAGGCAGGCGCTTGTGCCATTGAGCTATCTCCCTGGCCCCCTTGAGCTCACTTTG